ATTTTTTGGAAAGTTTATGATACCTTCTATTAGGCTGTTACAAATAAAGCATTAAAAACTAAAAGAGTTCTAAATTTTTTTTGCCAAGCAATAAATTTGTAACTTAACAATTTAAATAAATTAAGATTGCTCGGAATCGAAGTTACATTTGTCGCGCAACAAGCTTGCCGGACGTATTAATTAAACGACGTATCGGACAGAAAATTTGAATGATTCTTTAGTCAACAGGCGATTAATACGTCCGACAAACAACAAATATATCAATTCTTACGTAATACATTCTGTATCGCATCTTTTGCTTTTTGAACACCAAGACGAAATTCGCCGAACTCCGGACGAATCCTCATCCCACGGTAATAATACACCAAGCTCATTTCGAAGTCGCCAAGATGATAGAGAGCCTCCGCTTTGCAGTACACCGCCTTCGACTTGCTGGAATCCTTCGGATTTAATCGTAACGCCGCTTCAGCGTCGTCCAGGGCCTTTTGCGGATCACCCAGTAAAAGATGACATTTGCTCCGCGCTATTAAGGCGTTCTTGTCATTCGGGTTCAACTCCAGCGCCTGCCAGAATAAATTCTTATGTAGATATATCTTCTGAAACGATTGAAACTTTGATAAAATTATTGAAACAAAGAAATAATTATCGATTATAATGATTAAAAATTTTAAGTTCTTTATAGTATATTTTTAAATGTATACATTATAGTTCAGCGGATTTTTATTGTTATATTTTTGTCCTTTTTAAAATGTTCTAAATATTCTTATAATTTATGTAAAAAAAATGAAAGTATATTTTGTTATGTTTCAAAATGAAACACATTTGTAATATTGGCAGAATGACTGTCATTTATCGCCAGTTATTCTGCAACAATCTTTCTATCTAATTTTTTCTTTTATGTTATATCAAACATGTAGATAATGACGTGATGCTCCGCAATTATTACATCCGTTTCACTCTTATGACATATAAACTGCTACGATCGATTTAGCTGTTCGCTTATTAGGCAGGGTCGTTTGTTCATGCTCGCATGCACGGCCATGCACGGAAGACATAAATCACTTCTATCGATTGTCTCTGCAAAGACTTAACGAGACCGTTCAACGAGGCGAGTAGGAACCTTATTGATGCAGTTAATAGCGACATTAACGTCGCCGAAGCGCATCTCGCGCAGGCCAAGCGTCAGCAACGCTCCGGGCTCGGTCTCCTCAGGGATCTGCAGGTTCTTGCTGTGATCCTGGCGTTGCTTCATCTTCAGAGATTGCTTTATGTCCGTGGTACCCATATTCACGGCGGCCGCACGATCCTTATCGGTGTACACCTCTTCCTGCCGATGAGCGTCGCCGTCGTGCTGGCGTCACTTTTTCCTCAACTTCTGTATTCTCATCTCCGACTCGATGACAGCGGTGTTAGACCTCTCCTTTTCCTTCTTATCGTTGCCCTTCTTCCCTTTATCATGGGCATAGCGAGCATTGCTATCATTTGCCGCCCTTGGATATTTATTACCCGAATGCCCTTCCTTGCTCGGCTCCTCAAACTCCTCGGCATCCTGCTTCGAGTCAGAGCCTTCCACACGCGTTCGCACGTAGCTTTGCAGCAGGTCGTGGTGATGCAACCCAGGATTCAGGATGTCCATAACGTGATGCTCGACCGCGCTCGCAGACGTTGCGTCTTCGGCGACGACTTGCGGTACATCGCTCATCTTCAGCCGTCGATTTTAACAATATTTTATTCGACTATATTATATAATATTATATTATAACGAGAGGAAGTTGTAGCGATTTACTTTGCAAAACACTCTCGTTCCCTTCTTCATACGTTTTACTTCGCGCGTAACTCCAAAAATCGAGGAATCTTCGCGTAGGAATCACGAGCGGATGATCTTTGCCTACGTGCCAAGATACGTGTGGTTGCCGACACCTCAAAATAGGTGGCTCGTTTCCTTAGAAACGAGTAACAACGCCGGCATAAGTCAAATATGCTAAATATCTATATTACCCTCGTGATTCCGAAACATCGAAAACAACAAGAATGCTTTGTATGTTGCACATACAGAACATTCTTGAGATAGGTCGCCAAAGTTACAGCGTATTTTTTCGTTTACTCATCTTGAACGCACCCTTTATAAACATTTTTGTCTGTTTCGCAAATACGTCTAGAAAATTAATTGTTCTTCCATTTGTTTTAAAAGAATAGCTTCGCAAGTTGCACACTTTATATTCATCTAAATAAATACAAACTAATAATTCAAACATTGTTTGTTCTTCTTCATTGCGCTTACAACATTCAAATAACTTATTAGATCGTAATATAAAAAAAATTAAATATATAGTATCTATATATTTCTCGTTAGATACATGTGCTCTCGAATTTCTTGTTTCGCTACAGCTTTGCTCTTCAATCTTGATGCATCAGGGCGATCACGCGCGATTGGACTTCTACATTTCTACTTTGTATTTCTTTTTCTCTTCTGTAGCCGAAATACAACAAATATATTAAACTTATTCTACTTAAAAGTTATTATTTAGTTGACATTCGGGAGAAAACTAAGTTTTTCTCCAATATGCTGCGCAACATTTTTGATATCTCGTCTTAGCGCGTATATTCTTTAAGTTTTTTAAAATTTTATTTCTTCTTAAAAATCAATTTTTGTACATGTTAACATATTTTAATAATAAGCTTCTAGTTTATAAGTCTCTTTTAATAACAAACCCAAAACTTACTTGATTGTACAGAAATATGGCTTTATTGTAACTTCCATTTTTCACGTGAACAGTTGCTTCATTCACTAAAAGCGCGTTTCGTATAGCAACAGAGTTCCGCCTTACTCGTACCGCTGATTGTCCTTTTGGATGAAGTACCATATCGCCTCGATACCTACATCTGTTTCGACATTAAAATTTAGAAATTATTCAATCTATAAATATCAATCCAAGATTTAAGGAACAAAGTGGCTTTCTAGAAATCATTTTTTGAAATCAAAATAAAAAGCAATCAACGTAACAAATTAAGATTAATAACAAAATCATTTTAATTCGGAAATAAAAGCCAGATTTTAAATTCAATTCAACATTTAGAAAATTAAAAATGCAGTTTTACGTGCAGAAACAGATTTTTTCAGTTTTAATTTACATTTTAGCGAAAAACATGATAAGCAATAAGTATACTCACTATAATGTCACTTATACATAATTGAGAATTACGAAGAAATATTAGATTTGATTAACAGCATTCCATTTTTCCTCTTTTAATTAATTAGACACAGAAATCGCAATACGCAGACATCGATGGGCCGCTACGCCGCGACAAAGTGCACAACAGCTATCGTTCCAATCGGACAGCTGCCTCCGTGTCTTAAATTCGTAACTTATACAACGAAAACTTTTTCATCTATACTTTTTGCGCTGTCTCCCTACTCGCAATATTAAGAACTAATCAATAAAGAAGTTAGAGAAAGGGATGAGAAAGGAGAATGATGACAATTCTTATTCTTTACCCACCACCACATGCTGCATCTCTGATTGCTAACGGAAAAGCCATTAAATGGCTCGCTTTCGTGAATGCTTCCTATCAATCCATCGCTATCGTCCTTGCCTGATTATTATTTGTGTCATTTAACGAAAGAAACGCACGCGATCTGCATATTGACCGATTCTTCCTGCAGCTCTGAGAAAATAATCCACAAGTCCTAGACAATCATACGCCTGTAAATTTTACATCTATTCAGATTTATTCTGTATTATACATTGATATGGAAAATGTAATGATGTAAAATTTCATGTTAAAAAGATAAAACTTTTCGCGAGTGTAAATAAAAATCTCGTTCTCCAAGTTACAAAAGTTTTATTAAACTCGCATGTAGTTCTACTGTTAGTTCTGATGTATTCAATATATTTATTAACATATTAAATACATTTGTTAATCTACACTTTACTTTCGGAATTATGGAAAGTTGCATATTCATTGAATTTTATAAGCAAATGTTACATTATAACACTTCGAAATCTAACAAAGATTTATAAAAAACTGTTACATCGAATACTACTGTAACTTGAAAGAGGCAACAATGCGTGACACAATTCCTATTAAAAAGAATGTTTCAATATACATATATATGTATACTTATCAAAGTACAAAAACTTTAGCTAATATACAATTAGACTTATTATTCATCGCGTGCACGAACATGCGATATAAACGGCGGAATTACGAAGGAACAAAATATATAGAGCAATTAAAATTTTAATTGCGGAGTACCCCAGATCTATCACGTAACCAGTAATAAAATCGTTGATAGATTTATAATTAATTGAATTTTCCTCTTCAAAATTTCCCTCTTCTAAATTTTTCTCTGTCTTCAATTAGCTGTTTATTTCTCAACTAAAGTCCTCCTGCGCTGCTTGCGTTATGTGACATACACGGAATTCGTAACCCTCCTCTTGAACACATTTTGGAATTTTGCAAAAAAGAGCTTGTTGTCTGCTTTTTAAAATTTATCGAAGAAAAGATGCTGCAATTTTTTCATACAAAATTATAGATGTTTCTCCGAAAGATGGTTTATATTATATATAAATAAGCTAAAGATCTTAAGATATTTCAAATATATTGACAGGAACAATAAAAAATAACATTTTATTCTTATGCTATTATAATAATTTCTTTTGCTAATAAATACTTATAAAATGTAGCAGAATACAATCTTATATCACAACATACATCTTATTCGGATTCATATCATCTCATACTCAATCATCACATCAGATTCAAATGGAATAAACAACAGTCTGTTCTCTCTGTAAAGCAGTGCATCTAGGTGCTGGCACGATATCAGTTCTCATTCTGCGAAATAATAAAACATGCGGCTCTGAAAAAAAAAAATTTAGAGTGTATTAATAAACAATACTATAATTATTTGTGTTACACGCAATATGTTTCTGATCATTTTATTTATTAATACATACCTGGTCCATGCATCATATAATGAACCCATCCAGGACTCTGTTGGACTCCCAAATTTCTCCATTCAGTTTCTGTCATAAGATGAGTCTTTGGAACATGTCTGGCTATATCAAGCGGCAGTATCACATGCCTGTACGTAATTTAATTCAGTTTAATTATGTGGCTTAATTTGCATTAGATTTAACGAAATTAACGTACTATTTTACTATATTATATATATTCTTGAAAATCTAAATTAGTTTTAAGTATTTTTCTTCATATTTTTAAATTATATATATATAAGCTTAAATTGTATAATAAAAAATAGTCTTATGTCCATTTATTATTAGTTCCTAAGATACAATGTTCATAAAAAGTCGTATTGGAAATGTTCATAAACTTTAAAACCTGTTTTCTCTAAATTTATAATAATGGAGATACAATTCTTTACTTCTAAGGTACAGATATAACTCTATAATTATATAAGCATCTATTTTTTTTTTATTTAAATTTCTACATTCACATATTAATGTCATCAAAATCGGTATATTTTCAAAGAGATTGTCTGTAAACAGAAAATGATTCATACAATATATTTTGAAAAGAAAAAAAGGTAACAATAATAAAAGTCAGTAATACTTGAACAACAACGAAGATAACCTTTGTGACTCGTTAGTTATTAAATACATATAGTAAATTCACATATAACCAAACTTACCGGTATTCATATCTATCATCACTGTACTTTTCAGAATACTGAATATTTTCTACTGGCATTCTACTTGGAGATAAAGTAAGTGGATGGACAAGTAGTAACAAATTAATCGATCTAAAAAAAATGAAATAAAATAAAATAAAAGTCGACTAATCCTATAAAGTTTTAAGAAAAAGAAAACATAATCTCTATAAACAAAATTGCTTTGTAATATACCTCAATTGTTTCGTATAACCGAAAGAAATCTAGTAATAATTTAATTTATATAATTTGATTATTAATAATTAACCTAAATAAAAAGATAACTATTGATAAATGCAGAATATGAAAAAATTTCTTTGATATGACATTTTTATAGCAATATTACAAATGTTAACAGAAGTTTTTCAAACCAGGAAAAATGGGATTAGAATTTCCTCTGAAGGGAAATAAAGAAAGAGACGAGCAGAGAGAATGGACAGGATCACTGGAAAGCTCGGTAGATTGTGCAATTTGCAATACAGAAGCATGGGACGTAACAGAAAAATTCAGAGTAGGAGAAAGCACTGAATCAGACCACATGCCATTAGAATTGGTATTACAAGCAAGAGTAGAGAAGGAAACAGAACAAAAAATAGAAAAAGAAGAAGAAAAAGAGATACAAGACTGGTCAGAGGAGGAGGGAGCTTTTTACAAGGAAAACTTAAGGAAAAGGAAGACAGAAAAAAAAGAGATACAAGAAGAATGGAACGAGTTAGTCGAAGAAATAAAAAAAGCAGTCTGTAAAAAAGTCATCCAGATTAAAAAGCCAAAAATAGGAAAAAGAAAGTTTGATAAAAAATGCAGGAAAAGAAAAAAAAGGCTCAGCCGAATGTTAAGGCAAATGAAGAGAGGAAAAATGGAAAGGAGAAAATATACTGAAGAGAGGCAAAAACACAACAAGAAGAAACAAAAAGAAGAAAGAGAACAGAAAAAAATAATAAAAATAACTAATGAAACAAAAATGTGGAGGTACATAAAAAAAGAGAGAGGAAGAAGAGAAAAGCCTGATAATAGCATCGGAGAAGAACAATGGAAAAGGCACTTCATGGAACTATTAGAGGGAAGAGACACAAGAAAAGAGAACACAACAACAAAGAAAAAACAAAAAGAATTATCAGAAAGGAGGACGGAGGAAAGTACTGATGATATAACCGAGGAAGAGGTGGACAGAGTGATAGCAAGATTAAAGAAAAAAAAAGCAGCGGGAGAAGATGGTATAAGAAATGAAACTTGGCTACACGCGGATGAAAAAACGAAAGAAAAACTTAGAAAAATTATGCAAAAAATATGGCAAGGAGGAGAGATACCAAGCGGATGGAAAGAGGGAAGAATATATCCGATACATAAAACAGGCAGTAAAAAGGAAGTAGGAAATTACCGAGGGATCACACTTTTAGACACAGCATACAAGATATACGCGAAGATATTGGAAGGTAGACTGAGAGAGGAAGTAAATCGGCTAAAAATATTACCAGAAACACAAGCAGGATTTAGGAAAGGAAGAGGCTGCATAGATAACATATACGCACTGAAGACAGCAGTAGAGAAGATGTTAACCAAAAAGAAAGGAAAATTGTATGTACTGTTCGCGGATGTAAAGGCGGCATTCGACAAAGTAGACAGAGGGCTTTTGTGGAAAAATATGAAGGAATATGGAATCAATGAGAGATTAGTAGAAAGAATAAAAGATATATATAAGGAAACCATAAGCAGAGTGATATTGGGAAACAATCAGGTAACAGAAAGATTCTGGACAGAGAGAGGACTGAGGCAAGGCTGCCCCTTGAGCCCACTGCTCTTCATAATATATTTAGCAGATGTTGAGAAGTTTCTGAAGAAAAGACAAGTTGGAGGAACTGTAATCGGCAGGATAAAAATATACACGCTTGCGTACGCAGACGACCTGGCAATGTTGGCGGAATCTGAAAATTACATGAAGAAGATGTTGAAAAGCCTGGAAAAGTACTTCAAAGGAAAGGGGCTAACTCTAAATGCGGATAAATCAAAAATATTAGTTTTTTGCAAAAAGGAAAGAAGAAATCAAGAAAGAAAATGGAAGTGGAAAAATGAAGAATTGGAAGAAGTGAGAAAATTCAAATACTTAGGTTTCACGTTTAAGAAGAACAATGAGGATGATGCGCACATAAAGGACGTGGTTAAGAGAGCGGCAGCAGTCATGGCACAGATATGGAGGATAGGAGAGAAAAAATTCGGAAGAGACTTTGACAGAAGCCTCACGATATTCAATATCATGGTGAAGAGTATCATGCTGTATGGAGTAGAGGTATGGGGATGGAGGGAATGGGAAGATGTGGAAGCGCTACAGGAAAAATACGTAAGATGGAATCTAGGATTGGACAGGTGGACTCCAGGATACGTAGTCAGAGAGAAAACAAATATAGAAAAGATAAGCCTAGAAGCAGGAAGGAGAGTGTTAAGGTATCAGGATAAAATAAAGGTTTCAGAAAATGCGATATTAAAAGAATGTGCAAGAGAAATGAACAAGATGGAATGGGAAAGCACAAACTGGGGCAAAACAATGAAAGAATTTTACGAGGCAGGACGAACCAGCGATTGGGAGAGAGAAGCAAAGGAAGACAAAGGAGTAAATACAGTGCAGAAGAATGGACGGGAATGTACGAAGAAAAGCAGGCGGAAGAAAGGAAAAGTAGAAAAGTCAATTTCAGCGAAAGATTAGGAAGGTGGAAGGTAGCAGGAAGAGCGAAATACTTAGAACAAAAAGGAAAAGGAAACCGATTAAAAACTCTGGCCAGATTCAGAGATGTTGCAAAAGAGGAAACTTGCAGCCACATTCTGTCTGAATGTGATGATTATCATTAATAAAAAAAAACAAAAATTTTTTATTAAAAAAACAAGGAATTGATTTTATTACGATGTAATAAAAGTAAAATTAGCAAATAAGTATGTATATATTCATATAATATAAAAAATATTTATATAAATAAAGAAATTGTACAAGTTTGCTTCATCTTAATGTATTATAGGTTTACTTTGTTTTAATAAAACGAAAAAATTCTGCAACTTGAAAAATTGTGATATTGTGAAAACTTTCAACATTTTCGTATGAAATTCACGCAAATAAATCGCGTTTTCGACAAAGAACGTTACAATTTCGCGCGCGCGCTTATTCAGTCGGTACGATAGATTTCCTAACCTCCAAAAACACGTCGTCGGAAACCTCTCCATCGCGCAAATAACAGCAAAATTCGTGCGAATTATCGACGAGGTGAGAACAATCTTAATCCACTAAACGTTTGTTAATTAATTTCATATTGTGCAATTTATCTGATTTATCTATTAATTTTATATTTAGCCTCACAAACACACCTGTTACGCTCCAAGGTACGGCCACATACGGCGACACACATACATATACATGCCTACATACACACATGTTGAACTGTTGGAGCGCCATGGCATACGAATATCTAGACACGATTTATAGCGAATTTTGGGCGCGTTCAGCAGACACAACTGTTGAGTCTCGTCTTATCAACAATCTGCGTTGATTGGTTGGTTCTAAAAGTAAGAGCCAATCACGTTCGATTGCTACTGAGCGGTTTGTTCTGCTGAACGCGCCCTTTGCAATAGGTGCGTTCAATACCACCTTAAAGGTGAAATTTCATGGGCGCAGTGAAAACCAGCAGCAGATCGTACTGATTGGCTACAAAATAGAGAAGTTCTCGAG